CCCGCCTCACATCACGGAATCCAGCGTCAGGGTTTGCATATTAATGACGACGGGAACATGGATCGGAGACTCGGCCTTTCCGACCGTGACTATCAACTCGTGAGCAACGCGGAGCGGAAACAAGGTCTTTCCGCCTGCTGCACATAGTACATATTTAAAGGTAGACTGGAGACTAGGCCTCGCCAGCTACTAAACTAGTTAGACAATATACATTTATATAGGTTATTTGATAGTTTTAGAAACATAAACAGCTTTGTAATTGAAAATTTAAACTTACATATACGCATACTTTGTTATATATTAAAAATACCTATTTGTACTTTTAAGTCGCAAGACTGTAACAAATAAATAAATAAAATAAAAACGGTCAAAAACACCACAAAATCGGAGGAACTCAGGCCAATAAACACCCTTCCCAACTTAGAAAAAATAACAAGGGTCGTTGTTAGCTCCAATACTCTTTAATATTTATATCAACGACATAAACTCAGTATTGAAGTATTGTAAGGTAAAATTGTTCGCCAACGATACCCTCTTAACCAGAGGTGGGCACTACCACAAACAATCGTGAGCTAAAAGTGAGAATGTGTTAGTTTACGTAATTCATTTTGCATGCTGTCGTGTTCTCATCACTGCGCTCTCGCTTGTATACGTACACGCGACGCTTACGCTCTTTTAGCACCTGCTAACTCTCTGCCCATGCCTGCCCCATGCCTGCTCTTAACCCTCAGTGAGTGTAATCTACCCAATGCAATGATTAAAATGCAAGAAGACCTTCATTGTTTGTATAAATGGTTGTGCGGAAACAGACGGCAATAAAATGTGTGTGTGTAAATTGGTCTCATGAAAAGATCATGTAAGTACTTAGGAAGGAGGTATAAAACTCTGGTCTACATATCTATACTTGAACCACGTTTCATATACAGTCCAACAATCTTTTTTTATAGCAAGCGATACACAAATAGATAAGCTTAAAAAATGCAAAATAGGACTATGCGATTTATCTTGAACAAGCGGTAC